AGTCCTAAATGTGATTGAATTAAAAAATGCCACCAGGAGGTTAGCTAGTTCCTATTCCTGTGTGTTTATAGTTTTTAAACAGACATTAATTTTTAACACAATAATGACATGGCTAATGTCTGAAACACTGAGTGTTTCTTTAATCCAAATCATACAGTAGCTTTGTAATCCTCTTGGGTGTAGACTTCAAAAGCTGAGTATTTTAACAAAAAAAAAAGACCCCACCCAAAGCTTGTGATACACTCTGAGGCTAGTGAGTTGCTGGTTTCTGGGTATTACTGGAGGTCAGATTTATATTTAGTGCTCTCAGAGTTTAGAATATACATACTGTGTTGGTGGACAATCAGTGAAACTTCAGATGATGTTAATTTTTAAGCTTCTTGAGTTTTCTGTAGAGCTTCTGCTACGTTTGATAGAATTCCTGTAAGGGTAGATTTTGGCTGAAATTCATTCTTTGAAAGCCTACTTCTGGGTTTGTTTGGTTATATACCAAAATTTGGAGAATGATCAAGCTCTTTATGATTTCAACTTGCACGATGAATATTTGAAATGAATTTTTGCTGTAAACATTTGTAATTGGGATCCCTTGGGATGGTTTTCAGTCACAGCCAAGATCTTGCACATTTCATTTACACCGTATGCATAGGATTTTATGTGGAACTGCTGTTGGCACAAAGAGGCTTATGTAGGCTGATGAACTTCTCCCTCACTTGATCCAACCATCCTTGCTCCAAAGGAGACAGGGAATTGCTGTTATGTGCAGCAGCGTGGGCAACCATGCTGCTACTAGGCCAGACAGATAAATTGCATGGTGAATGAGTGTCATGTTCTCAGGCACCTTGTCGTTGCCCATTTGCCACAGCCACAATGCTAGCTCTCTTTTCTAATAAAAATAACAAACAGACAAAAAGCCACAAACCAAACCAAACCAATCCAGCTTTTCTTCAGGATCCTTTCTAACACTTTTCTACAGCAGCCTCTCCAAGAAGATAGCTGTAGATATTTTTTAGTCTACCAAGAAAGAGTTAGGGAAGCAGTTGTGGTCAAGGTGCATTATTTGTGGTATATAATAGCTGTGCAATACGTACTTACTTAAAAGCTCAAGTGACATATTTTTTTTTTGTGCCAGCCTCCCGAGTGTCAGTGTAGTAATTTATAGATAATACCACAAATGTTTGGTGTATTGGTAGTGAGAGATTAAATAATCTGCTGTAGATAGGCAAATAATAATAAATATTAACTTTGATAATAAAAGCTTGACCCACTCAAACAAGGTTGCATTCTAAAAAATTCTAATATTAATGGGTATTTTGAGTGGTTTTGAGGATCATTTTTCAATAATTAGACTTATTCTTAACTAAGAACATGAAATATGAATTTGTGTTGGTTTCTTGTGATCAATTTTCCTGCAAAAGAGGTAACAAGTTACTACTCCAAAGCTGCGTAAAATAAAGGGAAGAAAAAAGGTCTTTTTACTGAGAAGCAACATGAGTGCCAAAGCATTACTCTCTGGCTGGCCATAGTGTGTCTGAGCTTTCTTTACAAAAGGAAAATCTCTCTATAATAAAGTGGATAGAAAGTTCCAGGTCTTCATACTCAGTGAAATCATTGTCACTGGTAAATTGCATTATAATAGGTGTCTGTATTTTTTGTAGTAAATATGATCCTGCATGAGAGTCTTAGCATATTAATAGCCTTTCCTTTCTTGCAATCCACTTTATTCCCTAAAAGCCATCTGTGGTTGATATATCTTGATGTCATTATGTTTGTAGCTGTAGTGCAGAGGAAAGTTTTATACTGATGTCCTGGGTTGAGCAGCAGCAGTCATTTTTCTCCTTCTTAGTAGCTGGTGCAGTGCTGTGGTTTTGACTTTCGGCCTGGGAACAGCGCTGATAACACCGATGTTTTTAGTTGTTGCTCAGTAATGTTTACTCTGAACAAGGACTTTCTGAGTCTCATTCTCTGTCAGGGAGGAGGGGAAGCCGGGAGGAAGCAGAGACAGGACACCTGACCCAAACTAGTCAAAGAAGTATTCCATACCACAGCACATCATGCCCACTCTATAAACTAGGGGCAGTTACCTGGAAGGGCTTAGGCTGCTACTCTGATCGGGCTGGGTATCGATGGGTGGGTGGTGAGCGGTTGTATTCTCTTCCCTTGGTATTTCCCTTATCATTATTATTATTGGTGGTAGCAGTAGTGGTTTGTGTTATACCTTAGTTACTGGCTGTTCTTATCTCAACCCATGGGAATTACTTTCCTTCGATTCTCCTTCCCATTCCTCTGGGAGCAGGGGGAAGAAGGGGAGGGGAGAGAGCGAGCGGCTGCATGGTTCTGAGTTACCAGCTGGGCTTAAACCACGACAACTGATTAGATGCACAGTTTATAAAAATTGTGGCTTACCACAATCTCTGTCTTTTGCCAATCAACATATTTAAAAATGCTCCAAATATCTTGTCATCTTTGGAGTTCCTTGACAATATGTTTGTATTTCTTCACTTGGAGTGTGCATATTTTATTTTTTAGTACATAAAGCAAGAAATGAATCCATTCATTAACATTTAATCTTTCCTCAGAGTAGATAAATATTAACAATTACTCTCTACCAAGAAATTCAATGCATCATGATTTAACTAATGCTTGAAGAACACATTATTAAGTGTTATTTAGAACATGGCATATAGGAAGGGAATGGTGTTTAAAAATGCACTATCTTAAATACAAATGCTTTTAGTGTACATAAAGCATTACAGAGGCTTAAAATCGGAAAGATAGGACTCAACAAAGCATGTGAAGATAGCAGTTTCCTTAAGTCCTCATGGTGAGAAAGAGGGAGATACTTTTTTTCAATTTCAACTACATTGATGTGCCTTTTTACCTCTGGAATGGTGTGAGCTGCTGTGGAGGCTGGGATATGGACCAGGTACTGAGTGCAGTAAAGATCAGAAGTTTCTCAGAGTCTGTTGTGAGGAGTGTCCGAGGGAAAATAGCCTGTAAAATGCTGTGCTGAAGAGCACTTTTGTTCCTCAAAGAGAAAGTGATAGTTTCAGCTTCTACTGTAGTTAGAGATTCTGTTCCTGGTTTGAAAGTATAAAAATGGAAGAATTTGAGTGCTTTACAGATATTTTCCTTTTGGTTCATGCTGTAACTGCTGTTGGTTACTTCCTGGCATAAAAGTCTTTAGTTCTGCTACACCTTTCCCTTGGCCGCAGTTATTCTCCATTCTTATTTGAAAGAGTTACTGGTAAATGCTACTGGTTTTGCATGGTTCTAAGGAGCTGGTGGGCTTTTCCAGGGTAGAGAGTGATTGATAAAATGGAAAGGATAATACAGAGATTGCAGTCATTTAAAAGATGGGTTGGATAGGCTGGGGATGAAGTAACTATTGCTGGATACAGTAGCATCAAAGGAAAGAAAATTGAGGAAGTTTAATGTGAAGATAGAGTTTCAGGAAAAAAATACTGAAAGGTTACATTGGGGAAACCAGTAATTTTTAATTACTTGAAAAATCAAAGTTTCTGGAACAAGTTAAAAATCGGTGGTAATTGCAGTAGCTTCTGAGATGCTGCAACTTGTACTTCAGTGATTAGAAGTTGAAGTGAAATGAAAAGCTTTTTTTCTTTTTTTTTTAAAATTTTGTTTGTTTTGCTTCAAAAACAATGCTATTATGAAATTATAAAGGAAAAATCTCAACAAATATAATTAATCTCTGGAATGTCTCTGCTCAAATACTGTACTGGAAAGTAAAGGAATACAAGAAGGGAATAAATTTATGTATGGTGGTAGCAAGATGCCCATCATCTGGGGATTTCAGCATTACAAATAGGCAAGGCAACAGTTTAATTTACCAACTAAATAAGATATGGTCATAAAAATCCATGTTTCAAAGACCAGAGTGTGAAACTTCAACTCAGATATTTCTTTCCATCTCAACATATGGATGTGAAAGCTGGAAATGCAACAAAGGTACAGACATCTAAATGCCTTTTAAAGCAAATGCCTTAGAAAAATACTATGTATTAAATAGAATGAATTTATAACAGATGCCAAGATTCATTAGACAGCTCAGAAACCCCTTGGCTCTAAAGTTATCCAGAAAAGAAGATGGAATTATCATCTGGAGCATATGTTAAGAATGAAGCCAGAGCATCTGTCATGGAAAGCATGCCACTGGGCAGCTGGAAGAACACGCAAAAAGCACCGAGTCTCTCCATTGAACAATGCCTAAGATAACAAAAAAGTAAAACTGCGGGACATTGCACTGGATGCACAAGGAGTGACTCGGAGTAGACAAAAACTACACAGGGCTTTTTGGGGTTTATATTTTTGCTTTCAGTGCGTGTAAACTGAAGGTTTTGGGTTGTTTTCTGCTAAGGTTGCAAATATTAAGGGATGATTAAAAGTTGAAGGTCAGAATTAGAAAGTGCAATTAAGTACAGTATCTGTCATGCGTTTTAATTTCTTTCAGAATTTGTATATAATTTCTTCAGCTATGAAAAGAAAAAGAAGACTGTAATTAAACAAATCTTCAGATGTATTCCCACTGATTTGCTGAATCTATAATAAAGCATTCAGGACTACTTGGATAAAAATCCAGAATTAAGTTATCCAAGTAACCTGTAGTTAGTGACAGTACTATGCATTTAATTTTCTCTTGGAAACACCTGCTTTTGTATTTTTCTACTTTCTGGAGTTTCTGAACTAGCAGATCTTTGCTCTATACTGTCTTTTAACTTGCCCTGGTATTAGCCTCATGTTACATAGGTCTGTGTTAAAAAAACTTTAGCAGAATTTAAATTTCAGAAAAGACTTCTAGTTCAAGTGTAAGCTTTCAAAAGATTACATCAGTCTGTCACTTGATCATACAACAATCTGAATCAAGTTTGTCCAAAGTATTAAGAAATGTCTTAGACTTGGTGAGTAGCATTGTTTTGTGTTCTTTTATTTCCTCACCCTGTAACACGGAGACAAGCGTGTAATACAGCTTTTTAGTTTGAGTTGCTTGTGTTTTTCCCATGTTGGATCATCTCACTGACACCCAAACTAACATGTACGAATGAAGGCTTCCGATGAGAAGTTTGAACAACCCATTCAACTTCTAGATGCATTTTATGAGTCTAAGTAGTGAAACAAGAGTGTTAGTTCCACTCAGCAGAGTAACAAGTTTAGGCAAAGCGCCTAACTCTTCAAACATTTCAAAGGTGTATTGGTAGCTACAGCTTTTCTGTTTCTTCCACTTACAATATGCTGTTATAGTGATTATTTCTTAATGCCTCATAAAGGTGAGAAAAACTTCCAAATGCAATTTGGCTGCACTTAAAGGCTCAGCATTCAAGGAACATAGTTTGTTTTTACTTATCTTTAAAAATATTTTCAGATATTTTTATCCCTTTTACACTTTTGGTATTGATGGAACTTGGTTCCTTCTTTCCATGAATTGGAGGTAAGGCACCTAGCTAATTGTCTGTCCTTCAGAGCCTACATGGTAATGGATTTTTTTCTTGGACAGATTCTGCTTCTGATTTATTGTGAAATTAGGTTCGATTAGGGCTGTAGGAAAAACTTTGGTTAACAAAATTTTGTCAGAGGTTCTCCATTCTGCCAAATTCAGAACAGCCTTTGGTTATATGATACAGAAAAATAAACCTAGCACATCCCTGAGTATTTTTTTCCTTTCATTTCCATGACCATTTGCTCTTTTGTGTGCTTGGCAACTGAAATTTGTGTGTATTCCTTTTGTAATAAAGTACTTTCAGTAGTATGGAAGACAGGCTTACAAGCTATGTCTCTGGAAAGAAAAGAAGGGAAAAGATACTGTGTGGTATACTACTTCAGGTTACATGTTGACTAGTGCTTTGAAATACAGTTGTCCTGTGCTCACTGGGAAAGATTTTTGCTGAACAGTATGCAACAATAAAAAAAATTCAAGAGCTAAAAATACAGGATTACTACATGCTTTGACCTGTGGTCAGGGACTTGGCAGGAATAGCTTTGTATTGTTTGTTTAAGGTTTGTTTGAAGAGAGCAATTATAGGATGATCATTAAAAATATTGATATACTATTTTTCAGGAGCAGAGGATTAAAAACACACCTTGAAGAAAGAGTTTTTTTTTTGTTTTTTTTTTTTTTTATTTTTGTTAGAATTCAGTTGGATTGCATTAAACAAAGGAGGAACACAAGGAAAACATTGTATAAATCTTAATTTGAAAAGTATTGAATCTTAGTTATTGAGGAAGTGGTTGCTTGTGGAATTTTTTTTTTCTGTGCATTTTCCTTGCAGTGTTTTGAAATAGTTTCCTACAAAATCTTAATTTAACAGAATCATGATCTCTAAAAGAGAGGTCCCTCCACAAAGAGGATCTTCAGTAGGATGAGAGGAGACCCTTGCTTGAATTTTGCCAAAGACTGAGGGAAGGTTTCTTCTCCGCATTTTGCTGCGGAGTCAAAAATCAAACTAGACATTCTGGGTAGTAGTTACAACTCAAGAGGGGTTGCCAGGTTGGTGGTCTTGAATGAGTGATTCTCTAATATAGAAATCTGGTTTGCATGGATGAGGGTGTGTGGGTTCCCAGAGTACAGCTCTGCTGAGTTTATGCCAGACTTTTGACTAAATCAGTTCTGTAATAAAATCAAACTGATTCAGTCTCTCTCTTTCTGCTTTGTACAGTTAGCACATGTGCATTATTTTGTCCTTGTCCCTGACTCTACTTTATTCCTTTTGTAGCTGGTTTGAGATGATGTTTTGGGAAGTGCCTGTGAAGGGACACAGGCATTTCCTTCCACTTTCTGTTTGGGTGTACTGCTGAACGTTGTCACTCCCGCTTCCCAGAAAATTTTGCCTATAGTTAAGGTTGCTATAGATAACAATGGCAGGCAGCAAGAAGCAAATACAGAGAGCTGACTTCTTCCCAAGATGAGTAACTGGAGCACTGGGTTGGAATATGAGAGGAGATGTATGGATAAAGTCACCTTTTTGTTTTAATTCAGTTAAGGGCTCTGGATGAAGTTCAGCAAGAGCTTGCTGCTTCCCATAGCCATTTTTGTATCCAGGCTGGAGAAGATGTGACTCTGACCATTTGTGAATGGTTCCACTTGAGAGGTGCTCCATATTTTTCCCCAGTAAGACTGAGTGAAGTGAGGACTGTAACTCATGTCTAATTAAAAACAAAATAGAAATACCCCTTCAAACTTACTTTTCCTAAAATCTAGGTGATCCTTAATTCTATCTAATGTTTGAAGGTGACTCATGACTATTGTCAAGGTGGTACTTACGGTGCTTCCTTTGTATAAAAAATATATTGAACAACTGGACAGTTGGAGTTCAGTTGCAGTGTCGCTATGTGAGTCTTATTAACAAAATGGAAAAGTGTATCACTTCCTCATTAACCTCACTAAGCTAGGTGAACTAGGATAGCTGTCCTTATTGACCTGCCAAATAACTTGTTAACTTCAAACATATTGGCCTGTGTTTTCAGTCAGGCTGCCAATTCAGATTATGTATTGATATTTTTTTTATTATTTGACTTAAAAATGTAATGTTGGAAGAAATTTTTAGTGTTAGTTGTTTGCACCCTCCCTCTGCTTCCCCCCTCCCACCCTTCCCGCTTCTGATGCTTAGTCAAAACCAGAAAATGTCCTTGCATGATGTTTGTGGTGTTCTTGAAAGCTCTAGCACCCTTCCAACACAAAGTTGTTCTGCAACTTTACAGACTTTATTTGGACCAACTTTCTAACAATATGTAATCTAAATTTCCCTGCTGATCACTTTTTGTACTGCCATCTGTAGATGTGAAGCACAATTAATCAGTCCTCCTTATGAGACTCGCATATTGTGAGATTTTTATAGTCTGCTTCCCCCTTATTCCCTACCATATTCTCTGTTCTAGGCTAAGCCTAGTCAGTTATTTTAACTATACTTCGAACTTGGTATTTTCTTATAAGCAAACAAAGAAAAAACTTTATAGACTTGTTGCTCTCTCAGGACTTTTCTCAGTTTAGCTTTATTTTTGTTCCCTTTAATTTGTTAGTGTTCAAAATTTGTAAATGGTGATATTTTGGAGCTTTTGTCTTTGCCTAATAGAGAGGAATAAATTCTTTGTTTTTTTTTCCTGGATTTACATACAAAATGTTTGTTAATATGTAGTGTAATGATATTTATCTCTTATTCGTCTCTTTTGTAACATCATTGCATTGTTTGTTCATCCCAGATTTTTTCAAAGATAATAAAATTTCTAAATCTGGACTACTTTTCTGAAGAACTCTTGCTGTCTGAGGGTCTCCAAACATGACTGATTCGTACCTGGATTATTATTATTATATTTTTTTTGTTTTTGCCTTTTGGAATATTTGTCTTGCTTTTTATTGTTCTGCAGCTGTTTTGCTCCAAAGTAGTTTGTTCTTTTTTTTTTATAATTATTTTTTTAATATGTACTTAACTGGTATGTAGTTTTTTATTTTTTATGCTAAAGCTAAATAGCTTTTCTTCATTCTGCCCCAAAATAAATGATCTCTTCAGTGTATCTGTGACATTCAATTCACTGATCAGTAAATACAGAATTCTGAGAAATAAGAAGTGGTGAATTATTCTTCCTTCCATCATTTAAAATGTTGGGGAGGGGTGTGTGAAATCTGAGACAGGATTAGTTAGGTTGGCTTTTAATGGGAGGTGACACCAGAGTGATCAGAGTATTTTGTTTATTCTGGGAAGTTGGATGAACAATATTGAAATACTTTATAAAATCTGATATTTCCATCAACTGTGTTAATGTTATTTTAATTTTATCTTTTATTAACACATCCTATTACATTTAAATTTGCCATGGGCTTTTTTTTTGCTAAGGATTTCTTTGTTTGCTTGTTTTAATGTATTATAAAGAAAGTTAGGAACACTGTTTAACTGATTGTGGTTTTTCTTTAATCTTCTGTTTCTGTTTGGGATACTTCAGTAATCTTTAATCTTTTATAAAGAAAGAGATGACCTGGAAAAAAAATGCCAATTTCTGATACAAAATTTGCTCATAGGAAGCATACCGATTTCACCTGAGGAAAATAAATGCAGCGATAATCTGGATTGTGAAAGGTGGCAGAGATACCCTGAGCAACATTGCACAAAATCCTTGGCCAAGCAACACTGTAGAGCTCTTGTTTTGATGAAAGATTAGATGGTGTTTACTTGTGCCCACTACTATGAGGTATTTCTAATAGATAGCATGAGGCTTACAAAATCTCTTTGAAAGTGGGGCTGTCCTTAAGTGGGATGTTATTTCAGTGCATTTACTTCTGTTTGAGGGTGCCTTCCAGGTTTGTGCTAGTGCTGATTTTTAACAGAAAATGGCAATTTATCTTCTTGTTTTTTTTTTTTTTTTTTTTGTGGGGTGTTAATGTTTTTGTGTGTGTCTGCAAATAAGGGCTCTGTGCTTCAATGCTGCGATCAGCTTGGGAGTAGACTTGATGATCTAGGAGACTCTTCTTTCTGATGCTGTGATCTCCTTGGCTGTTCCTTTTGTACCAGCGGCTTGTAAATGTGGTTATACTGGAAAGTTTCTCAAGTGTTTCCCTCATTTCCTTTATCTTGCCTCGATCAAAATAGAGTCGGGAGCACCCAGTATGTCCATGTTGCTAAATGTTAGTGTGATTGAAATTTCCTGCATGAATCCTGAATGTTTAGCAGATACATTTCCCTTTTTTGGGATACTTGCAGAGTCTTCTCGCTGACATCTCTCTGTCAGACACTTTATTTTAGAGCTTGAGCAAAGTAATTCCTATGAGAGCAGTCACACGTGACGGTTTGCTGTAGCAAGTAGTTCACCTTGCTCCATTTAGCAGTCAGTGACGGATCATCCATAGTACCTGAGGAGATAATCTTCTTACAGCCCAGAATGAATCCCTCAGTGAAAGAAGATTCCTTCAGGGTCTACCCTAGTAAAACATGGGGGTTTCCTGCAGTGGGTAGGCATTTCTCCAACAGGACAGCTATATCAGTAGGAATTTTCACAGCAGATGAAACCTTTACATGGAGGTTTTATTTTTATTTAATTTTTTTTTAATTTACTTTTTTAAAAAACAGTTTTGTTCCCATAAAGCAGTATTGTTTGCCATTCACACCTTTCGCTTTGGTTATCTACAGAAACGTTTGGGATTCCAGCCCCAATAGGGATGGCCTGTACCTCTTAATACTCTTTTTCCTTTTCTAGCCTTCTAGTTGGCAACAAGAGAAGCTCCAAAACCTGCAGATAGGGTAGTCAGGTTTACCTTGCATATCACAGCTGCCCCAATACATCTGTTCCTAGGAAGGTGTAGCCATCAGTAAACACTGTTTCTGATAGATGTTTGTACTGATTTCCCTTCTTGTTCCCCCCCGTCCCAGCCCCCAGCTTTCCCTGATCTCCATCAGCTGGGACTTCTGACATGAAACATTGATAAGCAGTTACTTTTGAGGGCTTGGATTATTTTGGAGATAGGAAGTGCCATGTCATGCTAGTTGCAGGTAGGAAGTTTGATATACTTTTCCTGGGAAGTTACTGTACATTTCTGTGTAGAATTCTACTTAAATCCAGTGCACACTGTCCTCTTCTCATGCAGTTTTTGTTGTAGCATGGCATTTCACACTCCTTTTGTAGTTTTAGACTAACATTCCCTACTTATTAAGCAAATTGGGTGTTTTAATGTGATGCTACAAGTGCTCATTAAAGCTATTTTTCCAACAGCTGATGATTATTTCTCCCTTTTTGATTTTTTTTTTTTTTTTTTAATCTGAGAAAGTGAGCCAGCAGAAAGTTTTCTTTTATTTGTTCTGTGTAAAATAGTCAATTCCTTTTCCATTCTTTGTTCTTCCAGCTCTTACACGCTTAGAAATCTGGTTTTGGTTGTTGCAAGTAGTCTGAAAAAGTTTGTTTTATTCTTACCTGTGGATGTAGTTGGTTGCTGTGTTTGTGGAGCCAGACACAATAAGGACTCCATAATCGGCTAAATCATGCTTTTCCAAATGGCTAAAATGTTTTGGGAGTGTGTGTCAGCTTTCTGAAACCCACTTCTGAATTTTGAAGTCCCTCCTCCAATAAGTATGGAACACAGGAACGGAAGACAAAGGGCTGCAAACTTTGGTCATACTGTATTTTTAAATATTCAAAAACTTATTTTGGAGTCAAATTGTTTTTATTGGATATGAGTGTCCAGTGACCCAGTTGGCATTGTTTTCAGCAATCTAGATGATTATAGAGATACTTCTTTATAATGTACGGTTTGACTTTACATTATGTAAGTAACTTTTCTGGATGAAAAAAAAATAACCTGAATCTTACTTGAAAAGCGTTTTCTTGCAGTTTAACATCGTACATTTTTTTTTTCCTTTGATACATATGTAACTACTTTATCTTACACTGAAGTAGCATAAGGTGGTGATACTGGAACCGTTTTGCATCCTGGCTAAATTCACTTTAACATTGCAGTAGCAAATTTTTCCTTTTCTACTTTAAGAGCTCATTTTGACAGGTATGTTTTCACAAGAAATAATACTTACGGGAAGAGCTGTGTTTTGTCATTGCTTTCTATAAAGTA